TTTGGCTCCTACTTATTTGAAATTTAACTGATTATCTACATGTTTGAAGTTCATTTGATACAGTAAATTTTGTATTTTGAAGTAAAAGAATAGCAGCAACAAATTCTCCTCCAAGATGATTAAATAAGCTAGTCAGCCCAAAATTAGTGTGACTTATTTTAATGTTTTCTCTAATTGAGATAAAATGGACAGATAACATTATGCTAGTTCTAGTTGTATAAGATAGCAATTTGATGATCATTTATTTTTGATTTGTCATTGCGTTATAACAGGGCGGAGCGATAGCACAGCGGGTAGGGCATTTGCCTTGCATGTGGCTGACCTGGGTTAGATTTCTCTGTCCCTCTCAGAGAGCCCAGCAAGCTACCGAGAGTATCCCACCCACACGGCAGAGCCTGGCAAGCTCCTCGTGGCTTATTCGATATGCCAAACACAGTAACAACAAGTCTCACAATGGAGACATTACCGGTGCCTGCTCGAGCAAATTGATGAACAGCTGGAGGACAGTGCTACAGTGCATTGCATTATAATAGTATGGAATTTGAGATATTTCATGTCACACTTCTATATATGAAATACCACAGCTACCATGAAAGTTGCAACATCAGTCCACCACAAAAAGAACCACCATTCATCCCACCCACCCTCCCATCCCTCTGGGACCTACCACAGTTTTTACTGAGTCTAGGAATTAGATTTTTGTTGCAGTTTCCAGTTAATTTGCTTTAGTCATTCAAATTCCACATATAATTGAAATCTTCTGCTAACAGTCTTTCACTTCTTACATACTTCACTTAACATAATCACATCAAGACCCAGTCCTAAATGTCCAAACGATAGTATCCTTTTCTTCCAAAATGAGTGTTGACAGATAAATAGGAGTAAGAAAAGGAAATTTAGGCACACAGGTTTTGAATACATAGTGCCTCAATTTTGGCGTCATCCAAAACTGGTCATTGAATTTTGGCCAGAGATGCGAAAAAGTAGGTATTAAAGAAGTGTTTCCCATCTTCACAAACGCTGCATGGTTTTATAGGTAGTCAGTGCCAATGCAATTCTGTTAATTGTGTTTCAGTTGCAGTATATATGTACAGGATTCTTTGGTATTTATTTATATTAATTTTATATACAATAGCCCAGTCTGTTAAAAACTATTAATGAATATCTGGATATGAATTTGTGTTCGGCAGCTGGGTGATACTTCAGGATGCCTCTTCAGAAATGTGCTAAGCAAGTGGAATTTGTAAAATTATGCATTCTCTGAAGGGGAAATAAAGATAATCCCGGTGTTTTATTTTTCTTTTTTGGGTTTTGGGAGTTACATCTGGTGATGCTCAGACCTTAATCCTAATGGTACTTGGGGAATACCACCCGTGGGGTGAAGGGTCAAACTGGGGCTGGCTGTGTGGGGTAACTCCTGAGTGCAGAACCAGGAGTAACCCCTGTGCATCGCCAGGGTATGTGAACTTATTTATAGATAAGTTCACAAAAACATAAAAGTTGCTTCGATACTGTTTGACTATTGGTGTAGTAATTTACAAACTAATTGGTATTTTAAAAAAATATGAAAAGAAAAAGGTGTATTAAAATTCCAAACATTTCAACAACCAGAGAACCATTTTATGCTAGGGTTTCTTTAGGATTTGATTTCAAAATCAGTAAAGAAATGACAAATACGGTAGAATGATTTACTTCCTTCTGTTTTGCTAATATTAAAGACAGTTGAAATTATTGGACAGTATCCAATATGAAATAGGACAAGTGTGCTGGGAAGTTTAAGATTTTATTTAATTAGTGATTCTCCCAATAAATAAATTTAAAATAAAAGACTAATGTAATTTTAAACCGTCAAAACTTTCCAAATATTTTTTAAAATGACACATTCACACATCACTGAATTGAATTGTCAGCCATCCATTCTCCACTTCTCAATTTCTAGCTCAGATTCCTCTTGCTATTTGAGTCTAGTGAAGGGAATCTAGGATATGAAGGAGGACCCAGCTACTTCAGCTCAACGTCAGAGAATATGGAGGGTAATGTTAAAGATATAACACTGTATTGTACATTTTAATGTTGCTTATAGAAACTTGCAAGGCTCTAATTGCAACAAAAATGCAATTGTGAAATGTAGAAGTTAAGAAATTATTGTGGTAATCATTTCATAACATTTTAAACCATCATGCAATACACTTAAAACTCAGACAATCTTATGTCAGTCATATGTGAAAAATGCTTCCCAGTTTCCTGTAAGAATGGTCAAGGCTCATTCATCTATTATCTTAATTATTCTTCCACTTAATTTTTATGAGATACATATGATGCAGTGTGTTTATTCATTTTTATTGCTTGCCAGTCCTCTGTTGTATTTGTGTACACACATACACACACACACCCACACACACCGTATATATTGTAGTTGGTTTAGTCTATTCTCAGTCATTGAGTATTAGACTAGTTCCTAGTTTTTTTACTATTAAAAACTGTAAATCTCATGCTGGAGAGATACTATAGTGGGTAGGGCTTTTGCCTCACAAATAGCCAATGTAGGTTTGATCCCAGACTATATATTTACCTTATATAGTCTTCCAAGTTCCACCAGGAATGGCTCCTGAGTGCAGTCAGGACTAAGCCCTGAACATTGCAGGTAGAGCCCCAAAACAAAACAAAACAAAACAAAAACAAAATAAAGAAGTTGAAAACAAAAATAGTCTGATGAAGCCCAATCATTACATAATAGGCAGATAGTACTTGAGGACAAAAAAATAAGGACAAAGAAATAAAAATGAATATTAAGGGGAAAAGGAAGCTCAGATAGAGAAGAGAGCACCAAATAAAGGGTGTTGTGAGGATCCTCCCAGGGTGGGAGAAGCATGCTGAAAGTAGACTATAGACTAAACATGATTGCCACTCAATGCCTCTCTTGCAAAACACAGTACCCAAAGGGAGAGAGAGAGAACAAAAGGGAATGCCCTGCCACAGAGACAGGGTGGGATGGGAGGATGGGTGTGGGAGGGATACTGGGATCCATGGTGGTGGAAAATGGCACTGGTGGAGGGATGGGTACTTGATCATTGTATAACTGAAACCCAAGCACAAAAATTTATAAGTCTATAACCGTACCTCATGGTGTTTCACTAATAAAAAAAATAAAAATAAAATAAATGAATATTAAACAGACACTTTTCCAGAGAAGACACATAGATTGCCAATAGGCACATGAAAAAAATGCTGATTGTGACTTATTGTTAAGGAAATGGAATCATAGTAACAATGAGATAACCTCTCAGACCTTTGAGAATAACTGTTGGGGAACAGTTTTCCCCTCAACGGCACCTGGACACGTTGTGCACCAGGACCAGGCAGACGTGGGGTGAAGGATGACGGGAGCCCAGAGAAACACCCTCTGAGAGCTGCTGATGGCTGTTCACTTTATTGCCAAATACACACACATATTTTATAGGGGGCCTCGGCTTAAGAGGATGGTTCAATCACAGAAAGTTTAGCATTCTTGACCTCTCCAACTCTGCTTTGCGCTGGTCCAATCCCAATCAAGAATAGATGCTGCAGTTAGGATGACCTGCGAAGCATACGTAACAGTTTCTGTGTCTAGGGCTCATGTGACCAGGAGGTCGAGTGAGGCTCAAGGCTGAACACCCGGTGCTGGATGATACCCTGTTCTTGCCAACTTTGCCCAGATACTCCCTCTTGTGAGGCTTTGCTTCTGGGCTGCTTTGCAAGGTCTTATCTGCAACAGTGTCTATCACCATGCTCCACAAATTACCTACATCACGAAGACCAGAAACAGCAAACGGGGATGTGGAGAAATAGGAACACCCATTTATTGCTGGAAATGTAAGCTGGTTCAGCCTTTAGGGAGAACAGTAAGTATGTTTCACACAAAAAAAATAAAGATAAACTACCGCGATATGCAGCAATTCCACTCGTAGTTATCTTCCACAAGAACATAAGCACTCTAATTTTAAAGAAATAGGCACACCTCTGTTTATTGAAGCACTCTTTATACTACTCAAGATTTGGAAACAATTCAAGTGCATAATGACAGATTAGTATATAAAAATGTGTTTATCCAAACAACGCAGTATTACTCAGCTGCATGAAAAGATGAAGTTTTCAATTTCTTCCAATACAAAATGAAATGGAGGAGATCTTGCTAATCAAAATATGCCAAACAAAACACAAACACTGTCCTTCCATTGTTCATCGATTTGCTTGAGTGGGCCCAGTAATGTCTCCATTTTTTGAGACTTGTTGTTACTGTGTTTGGCATATTGAATACGTCATGAGTAGCTTGCCAGGCTTTGCTGTGCGGGCAAGATACTCTCGGTAGCTTGCCGGGATCTCTGAGAGGGGCGGAGGAGTTGAACCAGGCTCGGCCGGGCTGGCTGCGTGCAAGAGAAACACCCTACCACTGTGCTATATGTCAGAATGAGAAAAATAAATTCATGATGATCTCACTTATAGGTAGATATAAAGATGAAGAGCAAGAGAATAGACTATCTCCAGTGAAAACATATTTGTAGACTCTGACAATAGAACCGAACTTACCTATTTACAGTGCAGATGGTGTGACGGGGATTGGAAGGGCAGGATTTTACAGACTATGGTGGAGAGTTATTGACATTTTGATGGTATAACATATACAACATTGTACTTTTTCTTTTCTTTTTGTTTTGTTTGGGGGGCGGGGGCATACACAGTGGTTCTCAAGGCTTACTCTTGGCTCTACACTCAGGACTCAGGGATCACTCCTGGCAATGCTCAGGGGACCGTAAATGACACCTGTGATCGAAATTAGATCAACTGCATACAAGGCAAATACTCTACCACTGTACTATCGCTCCAGCTATACTTCTTAAACCTAGGAACCGTTATACTCTCATAAACTAATTTTACCTCAAAACAAAAATAATTTAAAATATTTTTTTGTCCATGGAGAAATTTATTTAATTTGTGAATTTGGGACATATACACAGGCGTAAAAGAAGATAAGTTTTTATAGGAAATATTATAGCAAACTGCCAACATTGTGTGATTATAAAATAATATTCACTTTATATTGAAATAATAATATTAAATAAAGAAAAATAGGAAGGAGTCTGCTAACAAATGCAACTTGTCTGTTCCAGTTTTAGAATAGAGAGTTTCTTCTTCTTCAGGCTGTCTAAAAGATGTCAAATGATTTAATGAAATTTATGTCTTATTCAGATTTAAAAAAATTGGTTCTAAGCTCATTTAGAAAAACTAAAACAGAGCAGATGTGCATGCAAAGATACATAAAAATTCTACCTGCTTATCAGCAAAAGTGTAATCTCTCTTTCATAGAAATTTATGTACGATATAACAGATAACCACTGAATGTAGTAACAGGGGGGAATTTGGCTGGAATTGTTCCCTTCACAAGTCTCAACCACACTTCCTGCCCGTAATTTAATTCTAATAAGGCATCTCCAGTCAAAACCCGATCACAGTGTGTATCACTGTTAATATTCTCAGACTCAAATGTAAGCTTGTCTACTCCATCAACCACCAAAAACCCAGAGACGTGAGCGCTGAATGACTCAATGGTATACTTAAACACATACACCCCAAGATAAGGAACTCTGAATTTTCCAGTTCTTGGAGTGTAGGAAGCTCCATAATTGACATCCAAATTATTAAACAGGATAGGACCAGGTGTCGTCATTCCATACGTATGAGATGCAAAAAATGCAACCATGGGTGCATATCTGTAAGATCCTTTGGAAAAATCTGTTAGAGAAGAAAAATGCAGTTAATTTTCTTGTCTTTACATCATGAAATATTTTCGTATATGCTTATCACTTTTTTACATAAAGAATTAGTAAAAATTCAATGGTTCTTCATCACCTTAGCAGGGAAGTGTGTTCGTCAATTTTGGGGGGCTTTTACCCCCATGTCTGAGTTCCTAAAACCTCTGTCTTTCCATTAAAATCTGGCTAGGATATTAATAGCACTTGGTGCCTCCTTCATAGTTAGGCATCAAAGATTAATTTGTAAGTTGCTTTGATCTCCAGAGATCAAGAAATTTAAAGTGCTCTCGTGATTATGATGGTATGCCAGAAAGCTTTAAGGGCCCTTGCAGGAATTAAAGTTGACATGATGTAGAGACAATTTTTCCAGTACATTGTCAAACATTCCAAGAGTCTAAATTGGGAAATAAATCTATATGCATTATAGGAAAGTAAACAAAAACAATTTTCAATGTAACTAATGCCAAATTATTTACAAAAGATGATTTTAAAGTAAGCTAAAAATTACTCTTCACTATGTAGCATTTTTATTAAGAAATGCCCCACACACAATGAGGTATCACCTCACACCACAGAGGCTGGCCCATATCCACAAGAACAAAAGCAACCGGTGCTGGCGCGGATGTGGTGAGAAAGGGACACTCCTTCACTGTTGGTGGGAATGCCGACTGGTTCAGCCCTTCTGGAAAACGGTATGGATGATTCTCAATGGTGGTGGAAAATGGGCACTGGTGGAGGGATGGGTGTTTGATCATTGTATAATCGAAACCAAAGCACAAAAAATTGTAAATCTACAACTGTACCTCATGGTGTTTCACTAATAAAAAAAAAACTAGAAATTGAGCTCCCATTTGACCCAGCAATACCACTCCTGGGAATATATCCCAGAGAGGCAAAAAAGTATAGCCGAAGTGACATCTGCAATTGTCTGTTTATTGCAGCACTCTTTACAATAGCCAGAATCTGGAAAAAACCTGAGTGCCCAAGAACAGATGACTGGTTGAAGAAACTCTGGCACATTTACACAATGGAGTACTATGTAGCTATTAGAAAAGACGAAGTCATGAAGTTTACATATAAGTGGTACTACATGGAAAGTATCATGTTAAGCGAAATGACTCAGAAAGAAAGGGATAGACATAGAAAGATTGCATTCATCTGGGGAACATAAAGTAACAAAATAGGAAACTAACACCCAAGTATGGCAGAGATTAGTATCAGGAATTTTACTCAATGACCCGGAGGACAACCACACATGTTAGGGGAAGGGGGAGCTCAGAAAGAGAAGGGAACACCAAATAAAGGGTGTTGGGAGGATCCGCCCATGATGGGAGAGCATGCTGAGGGTAGACTGTCGACCAAGCATGATTGCCACTCAATGCCTCTTTTGCAGACCATGGCACTCAAAAGGAGAGAGAGGGAAATGCCCTGCCACAGAGGCAGGGTAGGATGGGGGCTGGGGGGGAGGGGATGCTGGGATCCGTGGTGGTGGGAAATGCGCACTGGTGGAGGGATGGGAGTTTGATCATTGTATAATCGAAACCCAAGCACAAAAATGTGTAAGTCTACAACTGTACCTCATGGTGCCTCACTATTAAAAAAAAATAAATATATATAAAAAAAAGAAATGCCCCACAGATTTTTTTTGTCATAAATGACAGACTGTTAAAATACTACACATGTTTTATTTTATAAAAATTAGGTACGATTCAGGAGGATTACTCCATGGCTTAGAGAACAGCCGGGCATTCTAGGGGAAAGGGCAGCTCAGATAGAGAAGGGAGCGCCAAATAAAGGATGTTTGGAGGATCCTCCCAGGAGGGGAGATGCATGTTGAAAGTAGACCATGGACCGAACATGATTGCCACTCAATGCCTCTTTTGCAAACCACAACACCCAAAAGGAGAGAGAGAACAAAAGGGAATGCCCTGCCACAGAGGCAGGGTGGGATGGGGGGATGGGTGTGGGAGGGATACTGGGATCCATGGTGCTGGAAAATGGGCACTATGGAGGGATGGGTACTTGATCATTGTATAACTGAAACCCAAGCACAAAAATTTGTAAGTCTACAAATGTACCTCATGGTGTTTCACTAATAAAAATATATAAAAAAAATTAGGTACGATTATTTCTTGAAGTAAATCTCTAGTATCTTATGAAATTATGAAAGATATTTAAAAAACAATGTATTATGAAAAAATTTAGTACGTTTAGTAAATTATGAAAAATCAATAACCAGCAAAGGTATCTTATTCTCATCAATACATCTGAGAATATTGTAGCAATATATGGCCAACCTTCATGGAAAACATACAACTAAGCACTTATTAAAGAAGCACATCTAGTATGAATCAAACTATGCTCAGTTGTTGGAGAAGAGTTTATAAAGTTGTGCGTCTATGTGTTTTCATTTGCGGTGCACCAAAATAAATAAATAAATAAAAAAGCTGGGAAATGGGGACTAAACAATAAACTTCCTCTATAATACTATCATTGAAAATTTTTGAAAACGTGTACACCAATTAATTTTCTTGTCCAAAAGACATTTCGAGGCCAGAGAGATGATAGTATAGCTGGTAATGCACTTGTGTTGCAAATGTGTCAACCCAGTTCAGTGGCCTGAAAGGTACTAAAATTCAGAAGCAAGGTGAATTCTTCCATTGGTCCAGAGTCAGCCCTCATGTTTTAATAAGCCCATATATCTATTTATGACTCTTCTCAAAAATGATTTCCGTGCGTGCTGGTGAGGGAGTCTCAGCGTGCTTGTGGGTCCCACCTGGTGCCAGCGCGTTGCCCTCCACCAGCTTGACTGTGCACTGCTCGCCCGAGAAAGGATGTCGGCAGGCGCAGGTGAAGCCGATTCTCCCGTTGATGCACGTGCCTCCGTTCTGACACGGGGACCTGCTGCAGTCCGAATTCTCATCCAGCACTGAGGAGAAAAGGGGGAAGATCGTAAAGGAGATGCGTCTCTTGCAGAAGGAAAGGAAGAACATCACGTTGGAAGTAAGACAAAAATAGAGCCCCAAACTCAAGTTGCCCGCCAATGTCATTGAGTACCAAATGGGCTCAAATACCCAATGGGCTCAAATACCCAATGTGCTCTTTCTGCAGAATTACAGAGAAGCAGGACAAGAGAAAAAAAAAAACAGTATTAAATAGTGAAGAACTCTTGGACTTTGACCATGAAATCAAGGTTAGGAAGCAAAGGGCAGAAGAAGCAGGGGTATATGGAGGAGGGAGAGTGACTAGAGGTGGGGCAGGGGTGTGGGGAGGAGGGAGAGTAATTAGAGGAGAGGCAAGGGTGTGGGGAGGAGGGAGAGTGATTAGAAGAGAGGCAGGGGTATGGGGAGGAGGGAGAGTGACTGACTAGAGGTGGGGCAGGGGAGTGGGGAGGAGGGAGATTGGCTAGAGGCGGGGCAGGGGCGTGGGGAGGAGGGAGAGTGACTAGAGGTGGGGCAGGGGTGTGGGGAGGACGGAGAGTGAGGTGAGGTTGGGCCAGTGCTGAAAGGTCTTTGGCGTTTGTGAAGGTGCAGTAACTTTTTACACCAAAATCACAAAACAGCAGCTGGTTAATAGTGCTGTAACCATGCTATAAAAGTTTAAGAAGTCATAACAAATATTTGGGGTGTGAGTGACACCCAGGAATGCTCAGAGGCTACTCTTGATTCTGTGCTCAGGGCTCACGCCTTGAGGGTGATCTCAAAGCACCATATGTGGTGACAGGGATGGAACCCATCTCACTGGTATCTACCACCCCAACCCCTAAACTAAAATTTTAGACACAAAGGAAAGTAACTAAAGTGGATCGGGGACGTGGTTTCGCAGTAGGTAAGTTGATTACTTATCTCTGGAACTGATCTCAGAACCACACATACAATAAAATAGAATAAAATAAAATCAAAGCACGAGATTGGAGACGGACTACAGTGGTAAGGCTTGAACCTGACCCAGGTTTGGTCCCCGGCACTCCCGGTGATCCCTTAAGCCCTCCAGGAGAGATCCCTGAGCACTGAGCCAGGAGTAAATCGTGTTTTCCAAACAAACCAAAGAAACACTGGAGAAAGAAAATGCCTGTTCATTATATGGCGCTAAGATCATTGAATATTCAACAAAGCATATATTCCATAGTTACAAAATATTAAATTAAAAGATATGATTATATTACAATGAAATAAATGGAAATCTTTGTGTGCTTCAATATTTTAAGCTCTTTTAAAGTATAGCAAAATAAAATTTGAAAATAATCCTGACGCTTGACCGCCTAAGAATTAAAATTCTCTTGAAGTAAAGCACCACTGTCAAAATTCAAATATATGCTATATTAAGAGAAGCTATTAATGTGAGAAACTATCGTGTTCAATGATCTAATGATTAATAGTTGAAATACTGAAAGCTCTAAAAACACCCCAAATAAGTGATTTATTTAAAAAAAAAGGGCAAATGGCATGAGCTAGCAAATCTTTGAACAAAGACAGAAAAAGTACACTAAATTTTTTAAGACAGCCAATCTCACTACTAATTAAAGAATCATAAATTGTCAAATAGAAATATTTTTACATCTGGTGTCAGCATAAAGTTGTACAATGAGATAAAATGAGATAAAATGTGTATTCTTATGCAAAGTTAGACTTTAAGTTAGAATTTTATTTTATTTTATTTTATTTTGCTTTTTGGGTCACACCTGGCGATGCACAGGGGTTACTCCTGGCTCTGCACTCAGGAGTTACTCCTGGCGGTGCTCAGGGGACCCTATGGGATGCTGGGAATCGAACCCGGGTTGGCCGCTTGCAAGGCAAACGCCCTACCCGCTGTGCTATCTCTCCAGCTCCCTAAGTTAGAATTTTAAAAATAGAACAATTCAATCACATATATCACATAAACAGAACAACGATGTTTATTTCCCTTGAGACATAAACGTTTCCTGGCATAATGCATGCTTATATATGCTCAGATAAGTATTAAAAAGTGTGCTTTAGGGGCCAAAGAGTCAACATAGGTGTGAAAGGCACTTGCTTTAAGTGCAGCCAGCCCCAATTCTATCCTTGGCACTACTTATGGTCTTTGAGCACTGAGTCAGGAGCAGTTCCTGACCAGAGAGAACCCTCTCCTCTATCCCAACAAAAGGGCAGTAACAACAGCACATCTGCTTGACCACATGCTCCTCGTTAGTGCAAGATTGTGGACCGTCATAGTGTACTTGTTAAGTGAATTACAGTATATTCCCACTGGGGAATCTTAGACCACGGCTAAAGGGTGAGAAAAATTCCCCAAACATTTGCTATGCATAGAACTGGTTCCAGGTCGCTTTTAAACACAGAATAAATTCATTTAGAAGACTTTCCATTATGAGTATGATTAAAAACATAGTACACACTTACATAAATACAGAGTGAATGTTGAAAGAAGACTTGCTGGCTATAATCACCACTAGGGTGCTGCCCAAGGGTAATTGTTTAGTTCGTGATTTGTTTTCCAAGTTGAGGTTGATGTTGAAATTTAGTGTTCGACTTTTCTTATCAAGAAGCAAGATCAGCAGTACAGGGTGTAAGGCATTTACAATGCATGCCGCTGACCCAGGTTCTATCCTCAATATCCCATATGGTCTCCTGAGCACGGCCAGGAGTAATTCCTGAGTGCAGAGCCAGGGAAACGTCCTGAACATCATCGGGGGTGGCCCAAAAGAACAACAACAACAACAAAAGATATATAAGTATTTCACATTCATCATACTTTATATTTTTGAAATTAAATTTACATTAAATGTGAAGGAACTGCATACCTGCAATTTTACCATTTTTTAAAAAAAATTGGTAAAGAAAATATTTTATTTATGTAATTAGATATTTCAGTATGCAACCTCTGAAATATTACATAATATATTTTCCACATTAACATGCATATGAAAAATGCTATGGGCATGGAATATCTTTTAAGAAATATTCAGAATGGCCCACATTTATTTAACATAATTTCTCAATCACGTGATACATTATTAAACCCTTCCACTTGCTCTTGCTATTATTATGAAACCTAGCTTTTACTTGCTAAATTTAAAATCTCTAAATGACTCATAGAAATTGCTCTCTATTATTCACAGAAATGTGAATTCTTTTTCCCGGGACTTTATCTTTTTTTCATAGCCTATGAATCTTGCATAATGATAAATTCACAGAATAGTTTTAATTGAAATGCTTCATTAAGAAAGCATCAACTGCATGCTGGAACTGGGGGCACACTGAATTATTTATGAGATCTTTCCTGGGAAATACATTTCTCAGATTGGTTTTATCATTTGTCTGATTCTACAGAAAGAGAGTCTTTTCCTACTATTTCCCTGACATTTACATTTTGTCCTTAGTTATTTGTGGGAAAGGGGGTCTTAATTATCTATATGACTGGACCTGACTTATTATCTTTCTATGGAAAGTCTTCTTTCTTTTATTCATATAGAATGTTTCGATCACCTCTTTCAGTGTTACTGCCATTTGTGAATTTATGCTTTATGTGTCATTAATAAAAATACTGAATGAATCGGTATGGAGCAGAACCCGATAATAGATGTACAAATAAGGATTGCTTCTGATTTATGACTTCAAACAATATGCTGTTATTTAATTAGTATCAATCTAATTTTTCACATCCCCTTCTGCGTATTTTGTATTTTTGTAATTACTAGCATAATTAAAACTGTTTAGGCACCTGGGTTTGGAGAGACAGCACAGTGCACCTGACTGGGTTCATTCCCCGGCATCCCATAGGGTCTCCTGTCTCCTGAGCACTGACAGGAGTAATTCCTGAGTGCAGATCCAGGAGTAACTGAGCATAAAACAAAACACCTTACAGAGGAGAGAATAACTGAAATTCTAATTAAAGTTCTAGTAGAGATTCAAATGGAAGAGGAGAGGAAAATAGGTTAGGAAAAGCGAAAACACTAAAAGAACTATCAGACAGTATTACAAAAGGTAATTATTAGAATAATGTGTATACCATCAGGTGAAAAGAGAGAACGGAAAGATAATTCCTAATCAAGAAAATAATAGCAGAGAACTTTGGAAACTGAAGGAAAGAACGACCCATTGCCCAGGTAACAGAGAGAACACCAAAGTTACTAAATGCAAAAAGACTTAGACCAAGACACATTAGAATTAAATCATTAAAAGTGATTTATTTAGAAATTTAAAGTTATATTTAAAGGTCCTAATAAAAGAAATAACACACAAAGGAACACAGTCAAGCTATCAAAACATTTCTCAGTAGAAACCCTAAGGGACAGAAGAAAATTGAGTGTCAGATTCACAGTTCTATTTTGGAGGGCTGCACACCCCGTAGTGCTCGGGGTTTACTCCTGGCCCTGTGCTCACGAATCAGTGCTGGCGGTGGTCAGGGGTCATATGAGATGTGAGAATCACCTCTAGCCCCAAATAACCACAGTTCTGAAAGATTAAAAAATTCCCAGCTAAAAAAACCCTTTTCTACAAAATCAACTAAGATAGAAAAATAAAGGATTTGCCCAATAAACAGAAACCCAGACCTAGATGGCTTTAGCAGACAATTCTACAAAACTTTCATAGAAGAATGCTATCCTGCTAATATTCACCCCAAAAACGCTCCAAGCAAGAACATTCCCTAGCAACTCAATGAGACCATCATCACGTTAGTTCCCAAACTAGGAAAGTACACCATGAAAGAAAATCACAGACCATTATCTCCCATGAACACAGATACAGAAATTCTTAGTTTTGACAAATAGAAACTTAGCTACACAACAGTGAATAATTTATTGTGACTAAGAGGTATTATATCAGGGATCTGAGGTTGGATCAACGTGCAGAAGGCAATTAATGTAACAGACCAGATCAACAAAATAGAAAGATTATATTATATACAGTTGGGCCACACAGAGCCTGCCTGGATTTGATCTCCAGCATC